TGGCCGTCACCCCCAAAGGTAATGCTGACCCCCATCAGCACAGATGCTCCTGCCTCGTGTTGAACTTGGTGTGAAGGGGATCATGCAATCCAGGCTCTTTGTGTCTGGCTTCTTCCGCTCGGCCTTAGGCTTCCGAGGTTCACCTCTGCTCCCCCAGCAGATGGTGTGGCAAGCCCCTTTTAGAGGTCCAGCGTGACTGCTGTGGGGAGGTGGGCCCGTGGAGGCCTGTCCAGGGACTGTCGCCTGACCCCGCAGAGCCGGGAGCCTCTGCACTGGGTGTGAGCAGCAAGAGGCTGGGAGCATCGGATATTGAAGACAGAGCGAATGACACTTCATGATGGGTTGGACGAAGAAGGTGGTTGAAAAGGAAGTCAGGACAACCAGGGTCCGTGGCCTTTGCCTGTGGAAGGAGGGTGTCAGAATTTAGGATGCAGGGGGGTGGGTGGTGGCTGCAGGGGAGCAGTCTGTGGAGGGAAGCTGGGTTCATGTTCGGACAAGTCAAGTGTGATGTGCATATCAGATGTGAGCAGGTCCCCGGGCCTCTGACGCTGGCTTTCTGAGGATGGTCTGACCCGTAAGGGTATGTTTTGGGGGCTCTGTGCATTTCGACAGACCCTCAAAGGGATGGAGGTGGAAAGAATGGGGGAGCTTTGCAGGCCCAGCTCTGAGTGCTGCGGCATGTGGAGGATCGGGGAGGAGGACACACTCGTAAGGGAGAAGGGGGACAGGAGAAGGCCCAGACGTGGTGCTCACATGAAAGGTCCGTGAGGACGACATGCGTAAACTGGGGCACCATGCACATGCTGCCCGCCGCTGGGCAGGCCTGCAGGGGGCCAGGCTGCACCTGCGAGCACACACTGCCCACAGGCCTACCTGCCCGCTGTACGGGGACAGTGGTGCTGATGTAAGTAAGCGTCCTGAGAGCAGGGACCTGAGCGATGCGGACTTGGAAGGTGTCCCAGCTGCTGCTGGAAACCTCGGGGACTCAGAGCTCCAAGGACCGTGCTGTCCCAACATCTGCTGGACGCAGCCATGGGACGTCTTTTGAACAAGAAAGAGGGTGTCCAAAGGACGTTGTCAGGGTGCTAGAACCATCAGCGGGCTGTGGGCGGGTCCCTCGGTCGCACCTCTGTACTTGGTCCAAACCCCTGCTTAGTCTGTGTCACCTCAGTGAGAGGTGTCTGTCCTGTCTGCACCGTGCACTTGCAAATACCACTTTCAAATCAGCGTTACTTCTAAAGAAGTCCTGGAGACAAATAACACTACCTGTTACGGGTTGAATCGTGCTCCCCCAAATAGACCCACTGGACGGAGCTTCTTTACAGAAGCAATTAACCGTGGACGAGGTCCTTATGGTGGGCCCTGATCCAGTGTGACTGGTGTCCTTTTAAGAAGAGATCAGGACACAGACGTGCGCAGGGAGGGATGACTAGGGAGGGCCTGGGGGAGGACGGCCGTCTGCAAGCCTGCAGGAGAAACCAGCCCTGCTCACGCCTGCATCTGCAAATTCCAGCCCCCAGAATGACGCCACCCAGGCTGTGGCATGTCGTCACTAGCAAGCTCATATAGAAGCTACTTAAAAAAAAAAAAAGTAATTGTCGCCACCATAGCAAACATTCACCCCCGTTTGCTGTTTGTTTCCATGAACTTGAGGCCATCACTGCGGACGAATGTCCTGCTTGCAATAGGGCAACAGAACGAGGCCTTGGGGACATGGAGGCGCTGATGGAGCCTGCTGCAGACCCTTCCGCTCCCTTTGTCCCCAGTCGCATTCCCGCCAGTCCAGGGGTCTCACAGCCTGGAGTCCAGCTGCAGCGTGGGGGGCCTGAGCCTCTAAACCCATCCCTTAGGCAACTAGAAAGTAATTCCCTTGTTGCCATGGGTTCGCACCTGACTCAATTCTTTTCCTGATAAGGGTCTTTCTTTAAAAAAAAGGTATGTTTTCCTCCTTTACCTTTAACTAAATCTAGGCATTTGAGCTAAAAACCTTGTGTGCAGGGGAACAACCAGGATTCCAGAGTCTTCCATGAAACCAGATGGAGACAGAGACACCCACATGGAGTGTGCACCCGGCGTTTCTGTTTGCTCTTTTTCTGCCACGTTTGCCAAGGTGATAAGTGGGCCCAGCGGGGAAGCGGGCCCGGGGCTGGATTCGCAGCGGAGGCGTGGCGGGTCTCACCTTCCGGGCCGCATCTGGGGGTGGGGGCCCCGCCATGGCGGCCGGGGGCTCTAGGTGTCGGGGAAGAGAGGGGGTCGATGAAAGACCCCAATTCAGCCTCCCGGGCTGCCTCTCCCTCTCCTCAGCCACATGCTCACTGGGCCCTGACAGTGGGGCCTTTGCTCGGGGCCCTGGAGGCCATCTGGGACACCGAGTGATAAAAGCTCTCACTTCAGGCTGTGCCCAGGGGGGCGGGGGGGAGCCGCGTCTACACTTGGATTCACGTGGGGCTTTGATGTGTTTGCCATCAAAGTGGAATCAAAGCAGAGCTTAAACTGGGGAGGGACCCTGGTGACTCCATGTCAGGTGGTTCCCAAAGCAGGGCTGGGCCAGCCCTTGAAGGAGGCCTAACACCGGCATTTACTCCACCCAGAGTGAGCACGAATGAAAACAAAAAACCACAGACTGTTCGTGCTACCAGCGCTGAGGCCCCGGCAGCTCACCTGAGTGCGGAGTGGTGTTCTACGTGAAGACACGACGGTGCGGCGTTTTAACCGCGGTGCTCCCAGAGGCTGACTTTATGGGGGCTCTTTCCTATTGACGTACCTTGTCTGGCCCACCACCCAGACTAATGGACGCACCTTTTGGGACTTTATACACTGTGCTCCTTCCCAGTTATTAATGTCTTCTCTTCAGTCCTTGCATTTCCAGCATCCTGGATGTTTCTCATTGCACGTATGGGCTGAGCTGACGGATTACCCCGGAACGCATGGCCAACATTTCCCATTGCAAGTGGATGGGCTGTCTGAGTTTTCATTGGGAAATCTCTGCCTGCGCTTCCAGGGGCCCCTGGCCTGCTACACAATCAGCCCTCCAGGCTGGGGGCTTTTTCTGGGCCCTGGCTGTTGTTCTTCCTCAGATCCTGGAAATTATACCTTTTCACGAGGATGATCAAGTCCAAGAATGCCAAGCTTTGGTGAATGAAGTACCCTCAGTAATTAAAAAGGAGCCTGCTTTGAAGTTGTCCAGATATGCCGGAGATTACATCTAATTAAATCACAACAAGTGTACCTGATTCAGATCAACAGGTAGAGATTAATGGATGAAAAGTATGAATAACAAAACATTTTAAGAGACACGAATCAAAACAGAAAGGCAGCATGGACTCAAATCCAAGAGCGTGGGTTGAACTTCATTAGTAAATTCTTGCCTAATAGTGTCTCTGCTGCTAATGAGGAGAGTTAGTATTTTAATAGTACAGAAAGAGCGTGCAAACCAGAGCAGACCCACTTGCCACTCTGCAGACAGAAATTTCTCTTCCCGACACCACGAATCAAGACGTCCCATTAGAGGCCCATATTGAGAACAGGTCTAGAGAAGATTTTGGGTGACCGGTGCATGGTTTGTAATTACCATGCATTTCCCCACATTGGGGCAGGGTGTGCACCTTCAGCAGCCCCCCGTGAAACCCTGACTACTTACCAAGCATCACCAAACATCAGCGGTGAACCCTTGCATTGGGTCACCCTGCAGACGCCGGCTGGTTCAGCCCTGCCAAGGATAAACCAAGTTCCTGGTTCAGAGCTGATATCACATGCCTGACAATTAAGGCAGGATTCAGCTCAAAACCCAGCATTCTCCCAAGTGACTTCATGTCTGAGTATTCACTGGCCTGCTGTTGAACCTTTGCACAACTTAGATCAAATCCAGTGAGTCTGTGGTATTGCGCTCGCGTGGTTAGCATTCCCGCCTGGCTTCGGGGCTGTATCCAGTGAGTGAGAATGTAGGGTGTTTGGAGATAGGGTCTCTCCTACTGCCCTTCTTTACCCGTGAGCCCTGGTTATGGGCTGGAAGCATGTGATGGGATGTGGAATTGTTTTCCAGCAAGGTTTTCACGTAGGATAGTTTTAGATTTGTAGAGAGTTGTGAAGGTGGTAACGAGGTTGCGTGTCATGCACACCCAGTTCACCTTGTGTTAAACCTTCCATTAATGGTGTGGTCTCTTCGTCACAGTGGGTGTGCCTCGACTGACTCGTTATTCTCAACCAAAATCCATACTGTTCCTATTTGCTTAGACGTTACCTAATGTATTTTTTCTGTTCCAGAATCCCATGTGAGTTACCACAGTGTGTTTGTGTTTGGTCTTTGCTTCTAGGCATTAAAGTGTAATTTTGACATGGATCAAACCATACATGTAATGTATCATTGTATTAAACCAGCCACATTTAAATTTGGTTCATATTAAATGTTCTCTTTTCTTTAAACATCAAAAAAACGAGTAAGGGGCTAATAAACCACGCCTACTTGATTGACACCATCGATGCTTTGAGTTTTCCAGCAGCTTTGCGTGGTCTCCCCATGTGGGTTTTTACGGTGAAAATCACCCACATCCAGGGCATCATAAATGGACATGAGGCCTTCATAGCACACTTTGTAGTATTTTGCCAAAGTGAAGGATGTGCCATTTTGCTCCGAGGAGACCCTCCATTTCAGCAGAAGGTAATTGAGTTCCAAGGCTTTAGGGCAGATGGGGCTCCTCCCCGAGGCTGTTCCCCGTTCAGGTCCCCTGGTCTGTCGGTGGGCCAGTGGGGGTGAGGGCAGCAGCACCAGGTAACCCGAGTGGGCCTTTGTGTGAGGAGGCGCTGGGCAGAGGCCATCTGGGGGGTGTCACAGGGCTCGCACGCCCTGAGGCCGTCACCAGCCAGCTGGGCAGTGCATGGGGTTAGGAAGGTGGATAGAGGTCGTTCTGCAGTACCGCCCACATGCCGAGGAACCCGCTAGTCAGCTCTGACACTGGTGGTGCTGAACCCCACTCAGTCCTCCGCCCAGAGCCCGCGAGCCCCGCCTTCCCGCAGCCCCATGTGGACGTGTGCTGGTCTCCCGGCAGGTGCGTCTCAGGCCCTGAGCATCCTGTCTTTGCGTGGCCCCAACCTTCCCAGCGGCTCCTCCCGCCCTCAATCACCTCCGATCTCCAGTGCACCCCACATCCTGTTCCACTCGGGGAGCCAGACCTCCCCCAGACTCTCGGCGCTCTGACGTGCGGAGGGGGCAGGTAATGGGCTCCTTTGCTGATCACCTGCTCCAGCTTCATCCAGCCTCTTCCTTCTCTTCCTTTTTTCTTGGCTACTACTGGGCGTAACACTTAAAACATTGAATCATAAAATTGGTATTTGTTCAAAAGGCCACATACTGTATGACTTCACTTACGTAAAATGTCCAAAACAGATAAATCCCTGGAGAGAGGGAGAGTAGACTAGTGGTTACAGGGTCTGGGAGAGGTGAGAGTGGGGAGGACTGCTGATGGGAGCAAGGTTTCTTTTTTTTTTTTTTTAAAGATTTTATTTATTTATTTGACAGAGAGAGAGACAGCGAGAGCAGGAACCCAAGCAGGGGGAGCGGGAGAGGGAGAAGCAGGCTTCCCGCTGAGCAGGGAGCCCGATGTGGGACTCGATCCCAGGACCCTGGGATCATGACCTGAGCTGAAGGCAGACTAACGACTGAGCCACCCAGGCGCCTGGGAGCAAGGTGTCTTTTGGGAGTGATGAAATATTCTGCAATTACATAGTGGAGACGGTTGCACAACCTTATGAATGGCCCCAGACACACTGGATCATAGACGTGCAAATGGCGAGTTCTATGGTATGTAAATTACCTCAATTAAAAATGTGATGCTTTTTCACACGTGGAGATGTTTAAAAATAAAATAAAAGGAGACATTTTAAATTACCTTTGTAATTCCAGATAACGTAACAGTGACATTTTGACGTGGGTGTGTGTGTGATAGTTTTGTTGGTTTTGGCTTGTGCTTATTTTTTCCCTTTGGGGTATTTTTAACCCTTTTCAGGGGGGGCAGGAGAGACCCTGTTGGAATCTGTGGAAATGCTGGCACATATTGTCACTTGTCACCTGTCCCCAAGTTCATATTTGCCCCATTACATTTGGCTCATACATTAAAGTCTGGACAGCCGTTCTGTGTCCGACATACTGCTGTGCAGAGGAACGACAATTTCCATATCAGACTATCACTGGGGTCCTTATTTCTCAGTTAGGAAGCAACGATAGGGCCCAGGTGTGTCGAAACTTGAGGCGTCTGCACCAGGGACCACAGCAGTTGGCCATTTGCATTTATTCACATATGTGACTTGTCTGTGGTGGGGGGGAGCTCTGGCGTTAGCCTCGTGGGCTACTTGAAACTTCACCCCTGTTTGCAAACACGTAGATGACACTCTTTCGCTCAAGTACCCAAACTAAATTTTACTAAATCTTACTTAATTTTTTAAGGCAAAGCTGGAGGCTGAAAGAAACGAAAACTCAAATCCCAGCTTCTGTGCTGACCGGCACAACCTTTCCAGACAGAATCTTAGCGTTTCTCAGATCAGCGGCGACGCTGCGGGTCTGGCTGGGGGTGACGTCTGCTCAAGAATCAGCAGAAGCACTGGGATTACCCCCAGCTCCGTCCCACGGGGCGCATGCTCGTCTACGCGGCGCCTCGGATGCGCGGGAAATACACGTGCTTCGGCACTGAAAGTTGCCTTGGAAGAGCTGGGAATCTGTTCCACAGTGGAATCGGACTAATGGTGCTTATTTTTCTTCGGGGCGTGTATTTATTTGACTGTTTCACACCACTTGTCAATTTCTAAGCCATTAATAATTTTTATGCCTCTTTCAGATGTGTGTATATAGTACAAGTGTGTTTGATTTCCTGCGGTCTCTCTGCATTTACACGGTGCTGAATGATGGTGTGTGTAACATGCCAGTTTACCATCGCAGCCCCAGCTGAAGTTTAATTCTTGAGCACACACGCGTTGACCGCCTTGCATAGTTCCCGCCTGTCTCCATGGCGCGAGCAGCCCCCGGGTTGGGGTGTTAATGCCGGGACCATCAGCCGTCACGGGGACGCAGCCCCCGATGTCTACTGCTGTTTACGGTCGCTCCCCTGGGCCAGGTTCTGATCCCTCAGCGGAGAACGCTCGGGTTGCTCTGGGAGAGACGTACCATTTGGGGGGTCGTCTTAGAGAATCAGGGTGGTACTTCCTAGGGGTTGATTGGGGACATTTTACGAAAGCCGGGTTCTGACGGCCGGCCGGGTTTGGACTGGAAGCAATAGAAAGAGGGAACCTTCCTTAACTGGGTGCGAGAAGCCCGGGCTGGGGCAGAAACGGGCTCTCGCTGGCCTCCTGGGAGCTGGGGCTGGACTCCCAAGGGCGCAGGCTCACGCGTCACCGGGCGCGTCCTGTGATTTAGGAGCTGGTGGGGTGGACGGGATCAGCTTCGAGACGCCGGTGCCCTCCCATATCTGCTGGCCAGTGGTCATTCCCCTAAACAGTCTGAAGACTCTTGTGTGCCTCGTTGTATCCGCAAACCACCTGAACCGCACTTGCAGACCTCAGCTGCCTGGGAGCAAGGCTTCATCCTGAGCGTGGCCTGAAGTGTCTGGTACTTTGTTAGCTCTCTTTCTCATTTAAGAGAGACAAGTGGGGTGGCCCCGACTATAACCGAATTATAAACTGTCTTCCGTAGACTCTTTTTAAAAAATGGTGGTAAATGCCCATGACCTAAAGGTTCCCACCTGAACCACTTCTCTGACCATCGCCATCCATCTCCAGAACCTTTTCATCTCCCCCATATGAAACCGTCCCTGCTAAACACTAACTCCTGGGCCCCCGGGGCCCAGCCCTGGTGCCCACCATCTGCTTTCTGCCTATGAACTTGACTCCAGGGGCATCGTCAGCCCCGTTTGTCTTTCTGTGTCTGGCTGTTTCCATCAGCTTTGTCCGTGTGTCGCAGGGCAGGATTTCCGTTTTTCTAAGCCACACGATGCTCAGCGTGTGCGTCCCGCTCTTTGGTAGGCTTGAGACCACAAACCCAGATCCATCCAGGTATGTTGCCAGAGCCACCCCTGACGCCACCAGCTCTCCTCCACCCTCCCCTGCCCCTGACCAGTGGGACCCGGTCGAGGCCAGGCTGCCGGGTGACAGCCTGGAAGTGAAGGGGACAAGGGCCACACCGGGATATGGAGCCAGGGCGTCCGTCGTACCTGCCCTTCCTTTCCCCAGGATCCAGGGATGGGCGCCCACGTCCTCGGGTGGTGTTCCTGGTTGAGAACTACCAGAGGCCAGTATCTGGAGGGCGACCTGCAGACTCCGGCTACAGCGGTGTGTTATTTTGCCGGCCAGTGTTTGAATCTCTCTCCTGCCCTGAATGGCGCTCAGGGCTTCGGTCACGCGCCGGTTTCATCGGTGCGTCCTGCAGAGCATCTGCATTCTACCACACTTGGGATAAACGTCAAGGATCGCTGTTACTATTATACCAGATCTGATGTTCCAAGAGCCCCCTGGAAGTTACCGTAATGGCTCATCCCTCCAGGTGTTCTATACACAGCGGGCGGTTTTGCTAGAAAACTGTCGTCTTTGCACGAGAAGCGAAGTGAAGGCCTTGCAGTGAACTCTCACTAACGTACGTGCTGTGCTCTTTTGCTCAGGGGAAGTGGAGACTCCTGACCCGAATGACCCTTTGGGACAAATGGATGGACAGGATGGTCCTCTTCCAACTCTGAAAGGTAAAGTGCGGGGAGCGCTGGCGGGCAGGTGTTTGAACGTGTTCTCGGGGTCCCACATAGAGAGGCAACAGTCAGCTTGCCATCTTACTCGAGGTGTGGCTGCTGACACGGGGGGCGGGGTGCCCATGACCCAGCGTTGCCCTGCTGGTGGGCGTGGGGCGTGCCTGCCGCTGCCCCTGCGGTTACAGCCAGGTGGAAGGTGATGGTGGCAGGTGACAGGGCTCGGGTGGGCAGATGGCCATGGAGGGAGGCAGGGGCCTTGTGGGGAGCTCCGTGGGCCCTAGCAGAGCCTGAGGAGCTGGACCCCTGGCTCGGCCACTGTCCCCTGCTGACAGGTGGTGGTCCTCTGGGGGTCACTCTCTCCATGTCCTCATCCAGACTGGGTGGGCGCCAGGTGGATGTCAGGTGGGCAGGCAGGTTCTCTGTCTTGTGCTTCGGCCTTTCCCACAGGCCCCTGCATGGGTCACGGCGCATGGGGCACACTTTGTAGGAATATGAGGGTGGCAGAGTCCATCGGACACACTTCTTCAGATCTGGCCCAGGTCCTTGAGGAGCTGGCCCCCTTCCCACTCTACCCTTGGGCACCGTGTTGTCTTAGATCACTGTCTCAACCCAGCTGCTGCACATGGGTGGCCTCCTCAACAGGAATTCATTCCCCAGAGTCCTGGCGGTTGCGAGTTTAGGGCGAGAGCCCAGCAGCGTCAGTTCTGCTGAGGTCTCTCTGCCTGGCTTGCGATAGGCGCTCCCCACCCCGGCCTCACGTGGCAGAGCCTGTTTCAGCTGCTCTTCCCATTAGGGCGCTGACCCCCTTGTGGGGGTCCCTCATGACCTCATCTAACCTGATGCCCCCCAGAGGCCCACCTTCCAAGACCATCCCCCTGGGGGCTAAGCCTTCAAATGTGCATTGCCGGGAGACCCAATGCAATGCCAAACGATAATCTAGTAAGACATTCACTTTATTTTTGCTTAACTTCTTTCTAATTATTCAAAGACCAGCAACCCATACTAACTTCCTAGCCCCCTGTCTATTGAGGGTCCCACGACCCCTCAGGAAGGTTTTCCTCCACGTGTCCACGGCTGGGTCTTCTGGGTATTGAGCTAGGACTCAAGTCTGCTGGCCTCAGCCTAGGGGCTGGCGTGTCCCTGCAGGTCCTGGGAGGCTTCCTGGGGTCACACGGGGCGCTCAGCTCCCTCCTGGTTCCAGAACGCTCACCAGTGCATGCTATGTGCTGAGAGGTCAGCCGTCTCCGTCAAGGGCACGGGGAGCTCTGCCTGCTCAGTTGGTGATGACAAGGCCTCACAGGGACCCAGGGTACTTGCAGGGGGCAGGGCCTCTATCAGGACAGGGATGTGTCCCCAGGGGGGCAAGGCCTGTGCTCTGGATGCTGGGCCTCGGGAAACATTTCTTAAGAAGGAAGATTGTTTTGGGTGGTTAGATTCTGAAATCATTTCTCAAAAGGCTGACTTAGCCCACAGTCCAGATGGCCCACACGTATTCTTGACGCGCCCTCGGTACCAGCTGCTGTGTGAGGCCCAGGCACATGCTGGGGACCCGAACAACACAGCACCATTGTGTGTGGTCTCTGCCTCATGATGTTTCCCATACTGGGGAGTCAGCATCCTGAGTCCTTGACAGAGTAGCTCGGAGGAAGACAGGGGTGCGGTGAGCTGGAAGGAAGGGAAGGGCGTCCTGGCAAAGGATAGGATGTTACTTTGAGATCTGAAGAGCTGACAGTCATGGAGAGGGGTATCCTAGGCCATGGCAGTGCCTGGGCAAAGGCCCTGAGGTCAAGACAACTCGGTGCCTTGGGGCAGCTGAGAGAAAGGGCTGGGGTAGCTGAGGTCCGAAGGATCAGCGGGGCTAAACCAACATGGCCCAGTGCCGAGGCCATCAGCCATGTGTGGGTCTTTAAATCAATTAAAATTAAATAAAATTAAGAATCCAGTTCCTCAGTCCTCTGAGCTACATTTCAAGTGCTCAGTGGCCTCATGTGGCTAAAGCCACCGTAGCACAGATCTAGAGCATTCCATCACCACAGAAAGTTCTGTTGGGCAGCCCTGGGTAGACATACACAGCTCTTTAGGTGGTGGGAGAATGTTCTATTTTATTCTGAGGAGTGCCGTCCTCCACTGTGCAAGGTTCTGGCCTGGGACACGGTGTAGCCTGATCATTCTCTGAGAAGATCTTCCTGGTGGTCTGGAGGGTGATGGAGGGGAAGTGGAAGGGGTAGTAGGAGGGGGTGAGGGGGCGGATGGGAGGGAGGGGAGGGGGCAGGTGGGAGGGAGGCCAGGAGGCTGGTAGGAGGGAGGTGAGGAGCAAGCAGGAGGGAGGTGGGGCTGGCTGAGGAGAGGTGGACAAACCACAGTTAGAGTCTGCATCTAACCTGCACTCACCTTGTGGACTCCAGTATTCCTCAGGGGAATCATGTTTGCAGCAGACCTGCCCGACCCTCCCCCACCTCCCCCGGCAGGTGCAGGGGGCAGGCCTCCAGGGGGCCTGGGCTGGGTCAGGAGGGAGTGGGAGCACCCCCAATCACAGCTGTGCTTCCAGCAGCGTGGGGGGCAGAGGCGGCTGCAGGGCAGAAGGTCCCACAGGTCCACTTGGAGGAAGACGCACTCGCTGACTGAGGGCGGAAATGACTGTGGGCTGAGTGTTCTCAGGAATTCTTATTCCCACCCAGCCACAAGCTCCAAACATGGAGAAGTCAGATTCTGTGCCTTGGGTGGTATTTTTGGTCCTCCTTCTTGGTATTCGAGCAATTTCTCAAACCCACAACTGCATGCTTTGTGATGCCCTCTGCTTAGTGGGGATTTGATTGCCTCCGGTCTGTTTTTGTTAACCCACATGTGATTGTGTGAAAACCGTGGATGCTTCCACTGAGGTATTTGGAAGCTTGCCTTCCCTTCTCCAGGGCACAGAGACACCATCTGCAGACGTTCCCTGGTGACGTGGGTGTGTGTATGCGTGTGTCTCTGTGTGCTCATGCATGTGTGTCTGTGTGTACATGCATGAGTGCGTGCATGTGTGCATGATGTGTGTGCGTGTGTGTACATGCATGAGTGTGCACGTGTGTATTTGTGCGTGCCTGTGTGCATGCATGTTTGTGTGTGCATGCACGTGTGTACATGCATGTGTGCATGCGTACATGCATGAGTGCGTGTGCATGCATGTCTGCGTGTGTGTACATGCATGAGTGTGTGCACGTGTGCGTGTGTCTGCGCATGCATGTGTGTACATGCATGAGTGCGTGCACGCGTGTCTGTTGTGTGCATGTGGTACATGCATGAGTGCATGCACGTGTGCATGTGTGTCTGCGTGTGCATGTGTGTCTGTGTGCATGTGTGTACATGCATGAGTGCGTGCACGTGTGCATGCGTGTGCATGTGTGTACATGCACGAGTACGTGCGTGTGCATGTGCGTGCGTGCACGTGTGCATGTGTGTGTGCGTGTGCATGTGTGTGCACATGCATGCGTGTGTGTGTGCACACGCACGTGCGTGCACGGTGCAAAGGGACAGTACAAGAGGAAGCGGAAGGCCACAGCATGGTGGTGCAGCATGCTGAGTGCCGCTGGGTGAGCTTGGCTTGGCCAGAGTGCACACCTGGACTGGAGGGGGCTCCAGCACCCGCTGCGGCCCAAGCGCCCCCAGCCATCAGAGGCATAGGAGGCTCGGGGCACAGCACTCACCCGGGAGGCAGTGGCAGGAGGCATATACTGTGTGGCAGTGTGACCGTCAGCATGTGCCTCCGTTCCAGGCGTCTGCACCTCAGCAGCCCCTTGGGGACAGGATCCTAGAGAATGGCCCCAGGGAGTCTCAGGGACACCCCAGTCACTGCCTTACAGCCCTGTTCTCTCGCTCTGTCGTGTGATGTTACTTCTTTTTGGGTTGTGGCTTTTGCACAAAAGGACACTCCCTCTGCCCTTCCTTTCTGCTCCCTCGGCTCCGTGACAGAAGGCATCGACATGGCCATGCCAGACTCATTAGTCCACGTGCTTTTTTGTGCAGCTTCGGGGAGCGTCACTGCTTGGCCCCATTTGGCTTAAATCTTACAAGAAAGTAATAATAGCTGGATGGACCATAGGAGCTACTTCTGTAATCCAGTTGGCGTTTGTGATGCGCCCTGGTCTGTAGAAGCACAGGTGGGTGAAAACGGCCGGTAGGCCAGTCCCTGGGTGAGAGAACCGCTCTGCCTCTCCTGAGCAGACTCGGATCTGGGAATTAGGTCCAAGTGTAGACGGCGTTTGTGCTTGGATACCCTGCGAGTAGTGAGCACCTGACACATACAGAGTTGGTGGTTGGTCCTCAGAGAGAAGGATCCCCAAGCAAAAAGCCTCCGTAGAAGAGAAAATAAACACCACAGACTTTGTGACTTCACAGCTGAAAAGTTTGCCTGAAATTTCCGTATGCCATAGGGCCGTCACCGCAGGACTGCGGCCGGGCCCAGGACTCCAGTTAAAGTGCCGCGTTAATGCAGGATGGCCATTTGCCAGAAGCCTGTATTCCTTGCTACGGTAGATACCCTGGTAAGATGATTCATGGCGTTTTTATCACTGTCCCTGTTAGTGGTATGACACTTAACAAAAGCGTGCATTTGGCCTACAGGCCATTTACTCCTGTGTTGCAAGGCTGTATTTTAAGTGCATCTGTAACATGTCTTAGGTTTTGTAAAATCAGTACTTTGGAATGTTTGTGGGACGTAGATCACTTCTGAGAACCCAAGGGCGGTGCTGCTGGGCTGGCGTGGCTGGCGGCCTCCGCAAACAGCCCTGGTGTGCCCCCGTCTCCCGTCTGGGGAGGAGAGCTGCTCATCGTCGCCGCGAACCCAGCAGGGGAGTTCCGAGCTCTTCCTGCTTGAGGCTACGTTGCAATTAGAGGTGCTGTCAAGGGCATTCTAATCACAGGGCAGACGGTGATGCCTTACTCACCAGGCCGCCCCTGCGGCTCCCCCCAGGGCTCCTTGGGCAGAGGGAACAGGAAAGTCAGCAGAGAGCTCCGCG